AGAGGAGAAGAAATCCGGTCCATGAACCAATGTCTTCCTGACAGAACCTACAAATTCAATACCATTTTACCAGCATTAATACCATGTAATTTTTAGTAGTCAGATTAGAAATGAAACAGTGTGTAAAATAAAATACACAATAAAGTATGATTTGATTTAAACAGATGTAACAAATCAACAACTGGGGCTAGAAACATGGGATCTACTCCAGCACATTCAGAATTCTACTGGCTTTTTCTCTAATGCATTATTTAATTTGAATTGTTGATACTTTGTGTGTAATATTTACATTATGATCCTCAAAGCAAACTGCTGTACTTCTTTAACTAGGCAATGCAGTACCTCTGTGATTGTCTGCTGAAACTGATCACACCTGAAAAGTCAGGAGCTGTAAATAGCCTTATAGATTTAATAACATGTACAAATTTGTTCTGTGATGAGTCACATTTGTAAAATATATTTAAGGTTCATGTAAAGTAGAGGATATGAACCAAGATGAACTAAAAATACATCTGCCAAATAACTTTTAGTGTAGACACTAAATACCAAATCTGACCAAAATTTGTCAAGTAGTTTGGAGAGTAAACATGAAGATAGACACCTAGCATAATGCATAACGTGTTGATTTCATGTACAATGTAGGAGACCATATCCAACAATTTTTTCCAGGTATCTAAAACAATTATGGGTTTTCTAGGTAAAGATTTTAATATATAAGGAACATGAAAAAAGGTTCTTGTAGCTTTCAACATGCACAAATCTTTTGTCCTTGTTAAATCTGAAATTTTAGATAATGCAATATGAGAAATCTGTGAACAAATGATGTAAGATAAAACAAAATTAAATTATACTGGAACCTGGGGTGATGGTAATACTGTTGGAAAAACATTAGTTCTCTTATGGTAATTGCTTACCCATGTCCAAGGAATCCATAAGATAATCTGTCAGCAACAGTGGCTTATCAAGATGTGGCAATATTCTTTCCAAAAGAACGACCAATAACTGTTGGTGAGTTGCTGGAGAATGCTCCCAACGAATTACAGCACTCCACACTCTATTTAGCCATTTATGCAAATGATCAGTATTCTGCACAAAATCTGGGCCACCTGAAAGAAATTAAAACATATAAAATTGTATATATGATACCAAAGTGTATGCCAAGGGTAGATTGACATTCTAAACCCTATTTTCACACATACCTTCCTTGCCACAAAGCACAAACTCCCAGTTGTCTTTATTTCCAACACCCTGTTTAGGTACTGGAATTTTGTCCAATAAACTAAGAAAATTCTTTATGAATGTCTCATTGGGCTGTTTCTTGTTCAGTACAATAGTTGGCAGTAATTTCCAAACATAGTATAAAACGTCTTCATAAGCAGTGAATTCTTGAAATCGTGCAATGAGGTTCTCTCTACTGCATTCAGAAGATAGTAGTTCTAGTACAATTGGCTGAAAAATAAACAGATATCTTTGTTTTGGGCTTCTTAATTCAGTAGTGTCTTATTCCATAATTTAATGTTTCTTTTTCTTATGTTAGATAATTCATTTAACTAGAATCCTTCAATCTGAAGTTAATTTATTATCAGCTCTTTATATTCCATAACCTAAGTATTACCTTATGAGTAATTAATGTCTTCTACTGTACATTAAAGTTAAGTAAATACTTGTAACATGTCCCACGCCATTGCCGCACAGTCTGAGGCATCATGCTTCGGACCGGTGATACAGAATGCGCGCTGGTTCGTCTCGGGGAAAGAAATTTCTCATGAGATTTTCGACCGGTGTATGGGACTGGTGCCAACCCAGAATCGTGAGGAAATTGGGGAGCTACAATGGGTAGCGTAATCCGGTTATGAAAACTAGCAATGGCTGGGGGTTCGTCGTGCTGACCACACGTCACCCTATATCTGGTTGGATGATCGTTCACCTCTGCTTAGGCATGTGAACGTGAGGCCAGCAGCCAGCTAGTCGGATTTGGCTCTCAGAGGGCTGTTATGCCACGGATTATTTAAATACTTGTAACATAGGCAGCCTGATACACAAGTTATGTTGTGTACATGCATAACTCCCTATTCCAGAGTGGAGAATACTGGCCTTTACTACATACATTTTTCTTACACATCTTTGCTGCTTTCTAATACTCTGCTGTTTGTAGTACTGTTATTAATTTATTTTGACATTACTGACTATCTTATAACTTCCAGAGATTTAAATTATTACCAGTTAAGTTACATCAAATTACAACAAGCACAACATTTTCTGGTCTGCTAGAAGTACAGCATATGACTTCACAAGCTGCATATATAAACTTACTTAACTCTCATAATTCATTATAAGAAACAAAACAAAAGTATGATGTAGTAGTAGTGAAAAAATACATACTTACACGCAACTTCTGAACTGGAAAATAGTATTCCTGATTTTCCCTGTAATCAACAGGATACTTCCCTTCTAAACTGAGTAGTTTCATCATTGTGGTCAAGGCTTGTAACTGCATGGAAGATTTGTGCTTTGACATTATAGAAAGCAGTCTCATGAAAGTGTCCTCATAACACTCTAGAAGCCATACTCGATATTTGGTTTCAGCATTTACTTCTGAAAATTTTAAAAAGAACACATTAAGAAGAATAGGAGCCAAGATAGCTGTCAGTATAGTGATTAGCTATGGGCTGGACTGGGGTTCGACCCCCAAAGGGGGCAGAGGATTTTTCCTCTAGCCTCTGCGTCCAGACCGGCTGTGGGGCGCACCCAGCCACCTATCCAATCAGTACTGGGGTCTTTTCCTGGAGGTAAAGCGCAGCCGAGACGTGATGCTGACCACTCACCCCATCTAGTGCCAAAGTCAAGGAAGAGTAGGAGCTATACTTCCACTTCCCCCCAAACGACCTACATGGCATGTAGCTGGACGGCTTTACTTACTTTACATTAAGAAGAAAAACAACAGAAGATATTCAATATAACACAAATAATCACAAAGAGTATTCATGGATATCGTTTGTTGAAAAACAAATAAGGAAAGAATACACAACAATTCACAAACTGGTATGTCATCAAATTCCTGAAAAGATCACACAATAAGAATCTAATCAATAACCAGAATTTGTGGGGAATTTTGTTCTTCAAATTTATTATATTTAACAACGTAATTTACACTGCCAAGTACCAGTACCAATCTGCTGATATACCTTGTAGCTTCAAAATATTTTGTGGCATAAGTCATGTCTTGAGATCAGCAACAATAAGTAAAAGCCAATTATGAATGCCCTGTCGTTCTCAAGTTGATCCTTCTTCACACCATTTAACATTCATAGTACCAGAAAATTTCAAGTAAATGCATCATGTCTAAAAAACTACCACTGAAAAACCCTGCTGTGTTCACACAATGAAATAAAAACATGCCTAGCCTAAAATTCACTCTGGCACCCACCAGCACCCAATGTTAACTGAATTTCACATTGCATGAATTCTGCCAGCATGACAGCACCACTTTTAAGGGAACCCAGTCAACTATCACCCTCTGATTTGGCCCTGGTTTAGCAGTATGGTAGTGGACCCTCCTCAGACTTCTTGGTTAAAATATTAGGTGTCGACACTCCACAGTTACATTATAATACACTATTTTATTTTCCAGTTGCTTTACTGTTACTTTGTAAGTACAGTAAAAGGATTCTTTATTTAATTCACCTTAATAGCTTGTCCAGTAGTGTGTAAACCTATGGTGCAGGAGACCCAGGTTCAGCTCCCAAGTACACTGCTTATTTTTAATCACCGTATTTGTTGCAGGGGCCTAAAATGCCATTTATTTTCATTCATACTTTACCCACATTCAAGAACAAGAGGCACGCATTTGGTTTATCAACTTTTGCTTCCTCAGGACTGTCTTCATCAAATATAATGCTTAGCATTTTGAATTTCAAGGTTTGTTTTCCAATGCATTAGAATTTATGTTTCGATCTGTCATGACCTACAGGCAACTAACTGTACCTTTATCATTTATTGTGCTTTGGGGTCACTCCTTAACAAAGTGGAATTTTCCAATCTCATACATACAAAATACATAGGGGACTCTGTCACCATGGAAGAATAATCAGGACATACAGCACCTTTGCATATGAATGTGAAATCTAGTGTTCAGATTACCAATAAAACATTCTGAAATGGTATTACATATCAGGGGAAGGTTTTGTGCCTAGGGTCATTTTTTTGTGTACAAGATTACATGTACCAATATGTTAAAGGTACGCACTATTACACATGTATTTGGCAACTGAAATATACTGTTTACTTTGAAATTTCTTTACATGTAAGTTTACCAGCACCATTTAAAAAGAAAAAGTGACTGAAGGTAGAACATATAGTTTACTTCGGGCCACACTCTGTTTTACCTTGGGATGGAATTCAACAGAAGATTAAATTAATAAAAAAATTCAATTTTCCCACTTTGATTATATTCCACTGATAAGTTGGCAGCAAGTTGCAGCATTAATAATAAGAGCAATAATAAATGAAGTGTATGCAATTAACAGTAAACCAGTAATATTAATATAACAACCTACCTACATACAAAGAAAACAATAACTTAAACCTTTTTCAATATTGCATTTCATGAATGCCGTACCAAATGCAGTAATACGTACAACATTGTAAATGGTTACATGTTTACCTGGGTTTCAGGGCATCCATTATTAAGGAAAAGATTATATGCTTTAAATGGACCAAAGACAGTGCAGTCGAATGGGTGTAACTTACATGATACATGGAGAGACAACGTAAGCCTGATAATCCCATTTTATTTTGTCATGTTAATAGCTATAACTGATATGTGGGACTAATGATTATATAAAATCAATAAATATAGATCTTCCTTACAAGGTTTTTCACATGTGATTAGATGCTTCAGATAGTCAATGAAGAAATTCTCATTTGACTAACCTGTCTGATTTGCACATTCAACAGAAGCTGTAGCAGTACCAGTTAACATGATCCTTGAGGAACATGGTTACCAGTGGCATTTACAGCAACAATCATCATAACATTTATTACCCTCTCCTACACTCCTCACTTGCTTGATTCTTTTAGCACAAACAACTTTGGAGAAAACATGAATAGTAGTATTGCTAGTATCATTTAAATTATACATTTTATTACCAAAGAACTTGTGTCTTAACATCAGTTCATTTAAATTTAAAAAGCTGCTTTTACATTTTCACAATTCAAATGTTGCAGCATGTTTGAAATATTCAAACAATTCAAAATCCTACGTGGCCCTGAAAACTTTTAATATCATTTCTGGCTGTGTACTCAGAACTAAAAGGGCCTTCTTGCTCCTGAAACCTCATCAAACAATGGCTTAGTGTAGTTCTTGAAATTACAAAATCATGTGCTGCTGTCCTTACGTTTGTTTTGTTCTTGATTACATCCTGTATGGATCGTTCTATAGCCACACCTACTTTTTGTCGTGTTTTACATAATTTGCTTTGTGGCAGTTTCCTAGAAACAAAATATATTTTTTGTTACTGAACTTTTGAACATACTGATTCAATTTTAAATTTTAATAATGTAAATTCATTGTGCTGTACTATGGGTACAACATATTATGAAGTCTTAAGGCACACCAAGAGACAGAAAAAGAGATCACAACACAAAATTTAGAACTATTTTAGGTTAGGTGGAAAACTATTTTGTTGCACGAAAGATCTTACCTGTACCTAAACTGTACAGGAAATAAAAACACTCTCATACAAATACACTTACGAATCTTCTTAAAATACTTTCATTCTTGAATGTGAATAAAGGAAGGAAAAAAGTAAAGGCTTAAAAAATAAATCAGATTTTATAGTCTCCACAAGCAGCCTACTTGGGAACCGAACCCAGGCCACCCGCACCATAGGTATACACACACTACCAACCGAGATACGAGAGTAAACTGAAGAACGGATCCATTTACTGGACTTACAAAGTAGCAGTGAAGAAGGTGAAAAATAAAATAATGTACTGCTAAGAAACCATGGTGTGTCTAAACCTAATATTTTGGCCAAGAAGTCAAGAGGGTTCACTACCATACTGCAAAATGGGAGCCAAATTAGAGGGTAACATTCAACCAGGTCCCTTGTTAGTGGAAAATAGATTTACTACATCTAAGAACTATAAAATATTGGAAATATAATGACAGTATAATGGAACAGAACAACTATTCACAGAATTCAGACAACCTACTGATTCAGGAGAGAACTATCAAACAGTATTATCATTCAGTTTCATTAAGCCCACAGAATTAGTTATTTTAATCAAAATGTGTTTAAACAAAACCTATACACACAAAAGTCTGTATAGGCAAACATTTCCTATTCAAAAGGATTTGAAACAACATATTTTGTTGCAACTAATTTTCAACTTTGTTTTAGAATGTCACTAAAATTAGAAATGAACGGAACAATAGTTTCTGGTCTAAGCTGATGATTAATTATCGATTGAAAACATAAATACCATAAAGAAAAACCCAGAACCTGTATTAAATATCAGTAAGGTCAGAAAATTAAGTGCATGTTTAAAGGACCTGAAAGGAAGAGAGAATGTATGAGACATATGCCTAGGCAGGTGGGCAGTATTAAAATGTATCTTGAAGAAACAGGGAGAAGACTGTGGTCTAGATTCATCTGACTTAAGACAGTAAACAGAAGTGGGACTTTGATCCATGAAATTAGTTGCTGTGGTGCATGTCCTGACAACATATGAGCAAGCTTGAACCTATCTGCCTTTTTTTACTGTATTCACTTTTGTCACACAACTTTTTGATAGTACCTCATATTCCATGTTTTGTCGGAGCATATTTAGCAAGAAATATCAAATCAAATGTTTTATAAATCAAAATCTGATAAACAGTTCTGGAAATGAAGTAGCTACAGATCTGGCAGGTCTTTAAGAAGAATGGAAAGATATACAACTGACATAAGTTCAGAGAACAGGTTATGGTGTGTATGTGAGACACTCATTTATGCACAAACACATGGAATTTGTAAAAATGTTGATATACTGTGTTAAGACTAGCTGAAGTATATGACTATGCAAATCACTCTAACACAAAACATTAAATTTTGTCTTTCCAATATTTATTTTAAACTGCGGGAATTTGGTAAAACTGTTAATTACAAAACAAGGGCACTGGCATTCATACATTTTATTGTAGTAATGATATATTTCTGAAGTTGGTATTTACTTATACATAATCTGCTACTGACAGTTGTTCCCATTATTGCCAGCAGCGGCAACATTCCATGCACTCTTAATTGTAATGAACGGTATACTAAATTCTGTTTCAGGTTCTTTATCAGATATACATGCATAGTCGTGTATCAACCTCCAACATAGTTCACAGTTACTCATTAACAAGATTCATGTTCTTAACAGCTTCTTGTACACAATCTGCATAAATTTTAATGAACTAACACGACAGAGGAAATTCACTCTGTCATACATCCATATGCCATACTGTTTCCCTGTGAAGGCAACTGCAGGCCTATAAAATTTACAAAAATAAAACATAATACATGATGTGCTATGTGCTTCTTATGGGAAATATCATGGTATGAAGTTAAAGAGAACTGAAGATGTTTATAAAAATTAATATAAAATTCTTTAAAGTACTCCAAACCAATGTGAGATTTGTCTCAAAGTTTATTTTGTTATCTTGTACCATGTCCACAATGGCTTGGATTATGGAGAGCCAGAGCTACTTAGAACATGGCAGCATGCCAGGCTGTCCAAATACAAAATAATAACCCTGGAACTTGAATATGAGGTTACCTCATAAAAATTCATACATAGATACATGTACATGCACAAAAGTAATAGGCAAGGTGTGGAAGAAAGATGGTGAGAATTAGGGAAAGGTTAGTTTAGAACTAGACCACTACTGTATGGTAAAATATGTGAAGTAGTATGATAATGCATAAATATTCTATTCATTTCTGTATTTTATGCAATACTAGAGCAAACATATTTATTCTCAAATTACAATACCATGTTCATTGGCTGCAGCTGTGAAATCTCTGCATATTTCTCTTCTTTTTAAAACTTCTGTAAATATCATTTCTAGCGCTAAAATACAGGGTTGTACATTTCCTTCATTCTGAAAGATAAATCCAACAAATATAAAACAAATGTAAACACATTAAACAACTTCTGTAGGTATTAATATGGGTCACCAACATTCTAACTTAATTGTTACAAATATTAGATTTTGTAACTTCAATAGTGCCTTACACATCAAATAAAATATAATTTTAACATTTTCATCAACATGTTTTTTCCTATATTAAAATATTTTCTACATTTTCTGCGTAGCAACTACAGATGTAATCTAAGTCATAATACTCGAAGTAAAATGTATGTCAAGTCTAAGAGTAAATCAGAGACTGGGATGTCTTCCTTCACTAAAGCTTATAACACTGTATGTACTTACTGACCACACTTTCAGATGTTTAAAAGTCAGAATTGAATTAGTAGTTTTCTGGTTATGCTGATGCTACCAGTAACAAACAAATAACAGATTAATGTAACAACATTTGCCAAGTTTAAGACACGAAAAGTCAACAGAAAGAGATAATTATTCGAACACACATACATGTGCAGAAATATTTTCATACAGTGTCTAGAAATTAATGCTCGAGATATCCTGGGTTAGAATCATGACTGAAAACAAAACAAAACTACCATGTAAAAATTATTTTCAATATGTTATTTTTCCTGATTCAAAACCACAGAGTTCTCTTTTCTTTGCTGTGCAGTACTGCAACACTTGTTAGAAAGGAATTTATAAAGTAGTACTTTTAAAATGGGGAACTTGCAGATGTCTTCCTGCAACAGTGTCAAATACAGTAATTTTCTGAGTAACTGGTTCAGAAAAAGTGAAAATGATAACTTCAAAAGTATCAGCTATGGCAAATTTTTTCGTCTAATCAAATAGTGGAACATTTCTTGCCAGTCTACAACCTCATATCATTAAGATGGAAACAGACATTTAGATTGACCAGCTGGCCTTTTGTCATTATTCAAACAAAATTGTAATAACTGCGACGTACGACTTCCCTTATCTTTATTTTGCCACCGTGAATTACGCTCCTTGCATCGTCTCGCATTTTAGCAATCTTCAGGTTCATTATAAAACCACTGACTTGTGAACAGTACATAACACTAAACAAAAAAAATGTATTTCAAACGTTGAACTCTGTTGTTAATGCAATTACATTTTATCATTTCCCACAAGCTTACAATTCGGTAACATAAAACAAACTAAAACGAATATTTTTCTTACAAAGACTAATTAAGGTTATAACAGTAAAAATACATGATTCAAGTTCCTTATTCAAACAGAGTATAACCGGTTCGTTACCTCAAGTAATGATATGATACTAATTAAATTGTTTGCATTTTTCCTGCTCTTCAAGAATTCTGATGCCTGCGTCCGCAGTTCTTTAGATAACATATTTTACTAACAACTACCTTACACAACAACTACACAGTCCCACATTCGCTACCTCCCTCCACAGATATTAACTAACACGCAAAGCCGCCTTCCATCTGTGAACTCTGCGATACCGCAAATTCTAACACAGTAAAAGCCGACATCACGGATTTGAAGCCACAGATTAATACTATTCATTAACTCTGCAAACTCGGTAACCAAAAGAAAGAATTAAACATTTCTTGTTTTATAGTATAACTAATGAACGACATTTTGTTTGTATACACCAATGAAAGGTTCTTACAATATTTAACATTAGCAGAGGGTCATAGTCTTAAACAAAACATTCCAGATACTAGATTCTTTGTTATCTGTGGCACGTGTAGTTTGAGTTCGCATATTTTATTACTAGAAGGCGCTGTAATCAGTTCTTTTTAGAAGAACGTTAAGCGTGGCTAATCCTAGGAAGAGGTGAGAATTTTGCTTTCTTACACAAAATGTGAACTCCTATGTAAGTGTGTAGTATGTACACGAAAAGAAAAACAATTTTTCTGCGTGTGTAGCTGTATTTTAATCGTTTGTCCGGTAATATAATATTTAGTGTATTCCTTTTCTAAAAAGATCCGTCTTTATGTCGGTCCATTCCGAAGGCAGACAACAATAATTCTGTATGTACCGGATTGCTGTTTGGAGTTCTTGTAACGGATATTATGTTTCTACCGAAGTTCATTAATTATGTAGCCTGGGTTTTTACTTGAAGGAAAAATTAATATATTTGAATTATTAAGTTGTTTTACTTAACCTTTCGCCTCATCAGATACCTGCTTGTTAGATATATGGGATGTGTCTATTTAGATACTTTTAAGTTAGTTTACTTTGCTTGTTTCCATTCCATTGTGTCATATGGAGTTTTATTCTGAGAAAGTTCAACAGACAGTAAGAGAGTATCCATCATCAAAAAGAAAGTCATAAGAATAATGGCAGTTGTTAATTGAAGAGTACCTCACAGAGAACTATTTAAAAAATTGTGTATAAAGTTGTGTTGTTGAATTCTTTTTAAAAGTGTTCAATTTGAAAATTACGGAAATGAGAGGAGGATAACGAGCCTTTGGGTTTCATAAAAGGAGGAATTTGACTAGTGAGCTACTGTCAGCTGTGTAAGAAGAAATGTTTTCCATGTTAAGTTGCTTAAGCAGTAATTACATATGAAAATGGCTGTCTTCTGGGTTGTTGCGCCATGTAGTCTGGTAGATGTTTACCAACATTTCAGAGGTCCTTGCTACCTCCATCATCAGGGCGATGAGTAAGCCATGCAAGTGGAAAATGCTGGAGTTACAGGAACTGGACAGTTAAGGAATAAGGGCCTCTGAAACGTCGGTTAACTTCTACCAGACTACATGGCACACCAACCCAGAAGACAGCCATTTTCAGGCTCATCGCCATTAAAACCTCAAATCCTGCATAGTGATTAAATATGTTCGATGTTGATTATTTCTCATTACAATGTACTTTATGTCTATAATACTGTACCTTATATGAGTTATCTTGAAAGGTGAATGTAGTAAATTAATATTTATTTAAATTCAGTTATAGAAATTGTTGGTTAGGTTAATTTTAGTTATTATTGAAATGTTTACTGGCAGATAGTTTTAGTTGTATTAAAAAACAGTACCAAAATAAGATACAACAAAATAAAGATCATACTCAGTTATTATGGATTATTACATTTACATAAAGGAAGGCATATTTTAATTTTAGGAAAATGAGCAGTTCTGAGGAGGTGTCGTGGATTTCCTGGTTCTGCGGCCTTCGAGGAAATGAATTTTTCTGTGAAGTAAGTCATTATTTTGACACTATTGAATTAATATAATATTCAGTTTATGTCGAATCTCTGAAGTACACTGAATGTTCAAAACACTGTCGTGTTTGGTGTGAGTAAGTTTCAGTGGTTTGTATATGAATTCAATGGCAAGTTATAATGTTTTGATTTAGGTCTATATCTGTAAATAGTCTTCAGGTTCAATAATATACAGGTAGCCCTTGATTTGCGCCGATTCAGAATAGCACCGATTTTGAACAGAAAGTCAAAAAGTGAAAAAAAAATATTTTACTATTATTTATAACGTTTTACAATGTATCTCGTACTGATTCTTATACTAAATCGTAATTCGTACATCGCTGATTTTGAATAAAAATTATAAATACAGTCATCTCTGCAATTACGAATGTTTCGTTAACGGAAATTTGCTCCAATGAGATGGATGAATCGATAAAAGCTGTTTGTGAAATGCAAACTTTTGCATATGTGAGTTTGTTCTTATTCAGTTTCATTCCTGGCGCTTTAAACTTTCAAAGGACTAATTTAATCTCTGTAGAGGTACCGGGGTTATTTTTACTACGCAATTATCTATAGGTCAGAGTCTTACTTGAATGCAACTATCACATAACAGCAGAGATGACTGTACACATCAATCACATGAAAGAATCGCAGTCAATTGCGGGGACCAACGAATTGTAAGTGTATAAAATATATTTTTTAAATTCCCTTTATTTTATTAAAATTATTTCAGAGCTTTAAATATAATGCCATTATATTACTTGTCAATGTTTGGGTGCTGGGAACGCATGTCATTGACTTACCATTGATTTACATTATAAAAGAGTTTCAATTTTGTTTACGCCTGTTCGTCCAGGAACACATCCCGGCGTAAATTGAGAGCTACCTGTATGTGTATATATATTTATTAATGTTAGATATATGTGAATTCTGCTGTAGTAGCAAGTGAATTATCTTTTGTCTTGATAACTGCTTTCAGTTGTGTGAGAAGTACAATAATACATATAATTTTTTTCCTTCAGATATTCTGTTTATTTTTACTATTGTTTCTCAGCCTGAGTTGGTTCAATGTTCTAACACAGATTAATTTGTGTTCAAGTTGAGTTTTGTGTCACTAGGTTGATGAGGACTACATTCAGGATAAATTTAACTTGACAGGCTTAAATGAACAAGTGCCACATTATCGACAAGCTCTTGACATGATTCTAGACCTTGAACCAGGTGAGTGTCATTTAAACCTTTTTTAGCCTACTTTCCTCTCTTAAGGAAAACATCACCATTTCACATGGAGTTCACTTATTTTATCACAGGTGTGATTTGGAATGTGTGTGGTTACAAATCCCCATGTGATAGTTTTAAATTACTTTTTGGTAATAATTATTTATTTATTTGTGTTTGTACTTGGAATTTGGGATATTTTACTTTTATTAAAGAGATTTTAGATTACTGTCTGTTTGTCACATAAAACTTGTCCCTCTGCTAGATGTTCATCACCCATAAATACCATTTGCAAAGATATGGATATGTTTAGCATACATTTGGTTACACTTAATTATTAATTACAATAATTAAGGTTTTGTGGATTAGTTTTATTTTATAAGACTGTACTGGAGTGTCATGTCGTTCTAGTTTGTAGGTTTACATGGCTGGCAATCAGTATATAACTTCAGCTTTTGAATAGGAGCCACGTCATATTTGGTGTTAACCACTGTTTCAGCAAATATTGCAGTTGCCACTGCCTTCTGTAATGACCCCACCTCGTCAACCTTGAAAATGACAGCTGTAGTGTTTGCTGAAACATTAGTTAACACCAAATATCTTATGCGACTCCCACACAAAAACCAAAGTTATATAAGTCTTGTGTCTTACATGAGGCATGAAAATCTACTTGTGTGTTGTGGAAAGATGGCAATAATAAACAAAGTTTTATTTTGTTTTGCATAGTTATGTAATTTATTGTTATTTTGGTAGTATTAATTTTTATATGTGCCATATATATAATTGGACATTTGCAGCACATTAAAATAAATAATTTGAATTGAATTATTATATTTTTCTTTATGGGTAGAACTTATTATTTAAGAACAAATTCACCTCTGTGAACTCTCGGTTTTGATTTATGTTTGGGTGGATAAAATGGTACATTTACATAGCAATTCAGACCCAATTCTTTGGATATGTATTACATTTTTTTCAAATTTGAAAATTTAAAGAATGATATTTGTGGTTTGGCATTTTATATAGCATTGTTGGAAACCTCGACATATATTGAAATGTGTTTATCATGGAAATTGCATTGCGTTGTGCATCTTTTATAGATGATGAATTGGATGACAACCCAAACCAATCGGATCTAATTGAACAAGCAGCAGAAATGTTGTATGGTTTAATTCATGCACGTTACATCCTGACAAATCGTGGTATAGGTCAGATGATAGAAAAGTATCAGTCTGGAGATTTTGGCCATTGTCCAAGAGTATACTGTGAAAGTCAACCTATGCTACCAATAGGTGAGTGTCAGAGAGGATGCATACATATATACACTGTATGACTTGTTTATGAAGTTTCACTGGAAAGTGTACTTAGACATGCCCAAACAGTTGTGTTCAAATTACCAGTCATAATCTAGAAGGCTGGTTTGACAAGTATAAATTATGAGTTCCATAATTAAACATCAGATTCCTCTTTCAGTACTTATTCACCATTGACTGTGTTTCTTTTTGTTTATATTCTGAGGTACATATTCTGGTTGTGTTGTACTTGGATGGGTTGATCTTGCCATTGCTGTTGCTTTCTTCTAAGTTGTTAGTACTGCATTAATAAGATACAATCGCTAGGTTTTTGTTAATGTTGCTGTCATATATCTGCACTTTTCTATTTTTGGAGGCATGGGTTTTCAATTGAGGTGCATATTCTGGTAACATTAAGTATCCCACAGTGATCATATGTCGTTTGTGATAATTGTTAAGAACTAATTTAAGGCATTGTGTAAGGTATATGTGTGAATATTGAAACTGTTTATGTGCTTAGCATTATTTGCTTTAAGTGATCTATTTTTCAAGCATTTACAATAAAGAAAGGCATAGCAAATGAAGTTATGCAATCGGGGAGGATTTCTTGGAAGGTTGAAAGATTCTGGGTATGCAGATTCCATCATTCTTGTGAAGTGCATATGATGCCACATTGATGGTTATCAGGTATATCAAACATACTGATAATTACATGGCTTCTGGGACTATTTTTTGCTTATGGAGGGAAAGCTTTATATGGACCTGAGAATAAAGTTTGTGGCAGAAATTTGTTCATGTGAATTCTATCTGGGCAAGTAGTATAATAATTTTCTGCCATGTTCTCGACTGTGAAGTGGTGGTTCTCATACCTTGAACTTTTAAAGCCAGATCTGGTCTAATTGCTGTTTAAGCATTCAGTCCGTACTTCAGAGAGAACACGTTACCATTTCAAAAATCACTTAGTTAATGCTCTTTATGGAAGTAATAGGTTTACTCTGAGAATCATATGAAAAACATCTGTAGGCAAAGTGCAGAATTACTTATTATTAGAGTAGGTGGTACATATTGTTCCTATTGAGCTTTTAAGGTTTAAAGGACATCTTGTAGTTGGATAAATACAGTAATCACAGCATGTTCTACAGGGTTATCTGATGTTCCGGGAGAAGCAATGGTAAAATCCTATTGTCCAAAGTGTATGGATGTGTATACACCGAAGTCATCACGTCATCACCATACAGACGGGGCATATTTTGGAACTGGATTTCCTCAAATGCTTTTCATGGTTCATCCAGAGTACCGGCCAAAACGACCTTCTAATCAGTTTGTTCCAAGGTTAGCACAAACCTTTTTATTAACTCAGTTGCATGGATTTTAACTTATGTGATTTTGACACTGAATTACTAATGTCTGTCCCATAGGCAAGTTGCAGGTTTATTGTAAGTGCAGATGAAGATCTGATGTCCTTTTATGTTTTTCTGTTGGCCCTATCTCTGGTAAGTATTCCAACTACCTGTTCTCCCATCAGTTTTTAAATTCTCATGTTACAATAAATCCTTTGTCTTCATAAGAATGGTATGTGTAGATATGTAATTAAAATATTAATATTTTTCCCTTTGTAGATTGTATGGGTTCAAGATTCACCCCTTGGCTTACCAGATTCAGCAGCAGGCATCATCAAATTTCAAGGCACCACTTCGAGCTCTGAGTTACAACAATGGAAAGCGCTGAGAGAACAAAACCAAGAGCATTATGTATGTCAGTAATTGCAGATCAACCGCCACATTGTTCCAAGACTTGTGATGTGCTGTAATCTATTTGAAGTAGATATTTGCAAGTGATAGATCACAGGAACACATATGTTTATTTTCTGATTTGTGGGGAAAAGTAGTGAAATATATGTCTTCATTACTTAAACATATACCAATAAATCAAAATTAATAAGTGTAAGCCATACTTGTTAGAAGTTTGCTATCAAGTATATGTCTTTTCATTATTAACAAGTCAGCATTACTTTTTCTTTTCCAAAGACAATTTATAACTGGTGGGCTGTCAATCCAAGAGTTTCTAAATATATTTAAGACAGTGACTTTGTTTAGTTTTGTCTACATGTGCTTAGCGTAAGCTGAGGTATTATCCAGCATTGTTCTGTAACGAAATAGTTTTCTAGTTGTGAAGGACCTAAATGTGTGTCACTACACATTCAGGATGAATGAAGTATGTTTATATTTGAAGTATTTTATTTCTTCTTCTAATGTTCATGTGAAGTTCGCATAAAAAAGAATCCCAGTAAAAGGACATAGTATAGGCATAATATGTACATGGAATCTTCACCAACTTTGAAGTCAGGCTAGGGCACTAATAATGAAGGATGAGCAAGTGTTTTTTTATTATGCATTATACATTAAAATTTCTTGGTTTTTAAAGGCTGCGTTTTGGTCTAAATGCAGTCTTCTGAGATTTTCGTCTAAACAGCAGTATGTTAATGATGTTTATGGTTACCTGTTGCCAAGGTGGCCATTAGGCATTCATGTAATACACCTTATTTTGCTTTGCACTGTGAGAGTTCTTTAGTCATGTGTCTTCATATTTTATGTAAATATATTATTTATATGCAATGTAACCTAATGTCAGTAGAATGAGCACAGCCCATAATGATAATTTCATTATAGCAAGCAAATCATTGGCACAGTTAATTTCTGGTGCATATATGGAAAACATTACATAAAACAAGGGCTTTTTCCTCAACACCATCACAACAAGCAGTACCTAAAGTAACAGTAACTTTTTTCATAACCTTTCCAACTGACTGTGTAGTTTTACTTCCAAAACTATTTATAGCTGAGTCTGTAAATGTTCTATTAATCCAACCTCTGTGCAATTCAGTAGTGTAGGAGAAGGAAGTCTATTCCAGGGTCAGTGGATCATTGTGTAACCGCCCTTCCGCACACGACACGTTATTCGATTGTTGTAGCCACGGGATGATATTCAGTGGCGTGCCCAGCGCTGGTGTGGATACAACTTTATATGTTAGGTATATGGGAGGAATACAAAGGTAATTTAGGTAAACTGGTGTAGGGTTGGTCGGTGAGCAAGGATCTCAAACTCTCAGGGAATATACAGGGGAGGCAGCGTTTGAAGTAGCTCTCGCAGGAGGGTGGCGAAACCTCCTTGATGGTACGAATTGAGATGACAGGAATGCTGGTATAGAATTGTTCACTTTACTTATGTTATTAAGACCCACTGATGTAAAATCATTTACAATGATGTTGCAGCAGTGCTGTGATTTGGCTGTTTGTACTTAAAATCGATGAACAAGTAAAATGCGCCCGCTTGGCTTGAAGATGTTGACTCGAGAGCTCCACAACAACAGAAGCACGGCTGGAAGAACCCCTGCATCCTGTAGCTGTTATCAGATTTTGACTTGAATACCGCAATCTGATTCTTCCCCCATGACGTCGGAAACGTGCCATAAAGCCATATTCAAATTTAATTCGAGTCGCACCACTGCTACTGTTCTAGGGCAACCATAATTTCACATATGGAAAATTAAGTTTTTGCCTCTTAAACAACTTTTAGGAGTGAGAAAGCTTTGTGAATGTCATGTTGCTGCTAGACGGAAAGTCTGGAAGAAAGACGTTCAAGCTACTGAGTGTCGCCACACTCTTCCAATTCAGTACATTAAACAAAGCCAAATTTAATAAAATCAATTTTGATTAAGTAAGGCATATCAAATATCATCTAATCATGCCTCCTTCATTTATATAAACCAGATTAATATGCCAAAGCCTGGTTTACCTTTCATCTCAAGGTTCAGCCCGTTCAGGAATCAAACTACAAACCTGGACTGGCACAATTGTTGGTTGAGGCTTAGAGTACTGCTGTTTATGTGGGTCAGGAAGGCATCATAAATGTCTTTAAGCTTTTTTCCAACCATCATTAAGCAGAAATTGGATATCTTGTACCTTACCCCACCCCAACTTTAATCAGTTTAGAATTTCCCATTATATGATGTCCTCTGAACTTCCTTTTCAGTCTAGTATAGCATAATCCAAAAAAAATTTATTTTCTGTTTTATTCTATCCATTTGCAAGATTTCTCTCGAATGGTTCATATGCTGCCACTTGCTCATACAATTCTGACATGACGCCAATAACTTCACTACACAGAATGCATAACAGGAGCAATATTTCTACACCTTTTGATGCTATGGCAAATTGACAGCAGTGGAGTTAGTGCCATATTACAGTGCTGTCATGTCACAGGAGGAGAAAATCTGAAAAATGCACATGCTTAAATAATGTGCTCAAGCCAGTGGCCAAACTTCAAATGTCTAAAGCCACAAAATAGTTGGTACTAATGATTCAGCCACCAAGCAGTTGTTGGCTGATGCACCTCCTTTAACACACACTACAGCAAAGATGTTAGAAACTAATTGTTTTCTTGTACTTGTTTCACTGTGTATTGTGCCACACAGCTAGTGAACAGGAGTTCAACATTTTTCTATAATTGCCCTCTGTATTAAGTAAAAAAGTATTGAGCCCTAATTAAGGCAACAAAATGTAAGTGTTTAAACTTGAATATGAAGTGTGATGTAATACATCTGTATGTGAAGTTGGTGACAGGTCAAGGTGTGATGGTACCAGTACAGATTTGACTTTGATGTTCACAGTTTATAAAAACAAAGATGAAATATAATATCTATTCTTTGTAATGGAAGACCAGTACATTCCAATCATGACATTTAGAATAGGCCCATAATGTACCATGTGTGTACTTAAGTAGATGCTTGTTTGACTTCTTTGTGTTTTTTATTTGTCAAGAAAGTTCAATAATAATTGATATGTTGATTCTCACATGTGTACATGTTAGAATGTAGGTGGTTGCATAGCAGTTGCAGTTACAACAGGACATGTACATATGACAAAATCTTTTAACTTCTCAGTTTTGAAAATGTTGAATTCCTGGCTATTTTAATATCACTATGACAGTCACTTAATGGACTTGTAGATAATGTATTTTAGCCATTTTCCAATATTACAAGTATCCATTAGAAGTAGCACTTTCCCTGAATGTTCTTGTTATGTTGAAGTTACACTGTATTGTAATTTTAAATTTCACTTAAAAATGCATACAATTTTTTACATATGCACATTTTAATGTCTAAAGTATGTTTTTGATTGTTTATATTAACCATCCTTAGAATTACAATTAAAAAAATGTGATCAGGACTGAATGCACAAATGGTAATTTCGATGTGGATTCAAGTTGTTTGGATCTATTGCTTTTTGTTAATGATGCTTCTGAAAGGTGGAAATTGAGATTTTTGAGTGGTATGAATTATGTAAAAACACAATGAAAACAGAAATCTAAATTTTTCAAGCCTGGAAGCAGCAGTCACATGCACACTTGATCCCAACATTGTAACATGCCAAGACTATTCCAATTGTGAGATTTTGTGTAACATGAAAATCACTGGTTGACCCACACCTCTTTTTACAAAGCCCAAATATCTGGAAGATGGCTATCTTATGGGATGTTGACCAACATTTCAGAGGAGCATAATGCCTTCATGATCAGGGTTATCACTTATCACCATGGTAATGGATGTAGCAAGCTCCTCCAAAATGCTGGAAACACAGTAGATGGTGCAGCATCCCAGAAGACAGTTATCTTTATACTCATTACTGTGAGAGCTTCATTCACATATAAAATCCCACACTGTGGGTTTGCTGGCCATTCTTTAACTCAGGGTTAATGCTCTTGTGGTATGATGCATGCAGTTTTGCGAAATTAGATTAAAGTTGCTTGGCAGTATTTAAATAGAGTCCTGATTATCTGACCTAAACAGGACCAAATAATATAATATGATAATAATATAAAATGGAAGACTAATGAAAAGACAAGGGTAAATATCAACTTAGTTTGTAATGTTGTTAGATTAGAAAGGAAATGCAGTATGGCATCAAATGGAAAAATCTCACAAAAATACAATTAAACATATTAAAATTGTAAATGAGTTAAGTTTTGTAAGAAATTAGAAATGGGTATTTGCTTCTGAGTCTCTTTCCTTTTCTTTGTGGCAAGGTCATGCCAGCACCTGAACAGTAGTATGTCTGTGGCAATGGAGTACTTAAAATACTATAAGTGTATGTTGGTGGAGTATGATTCATTCTCCTACATGCTGAGTTGACTGTTGACAAAATAGAGCCTTCTGATACCAAGTTAACTATCCAAAGGTCGGATAATCAGGACTAATGTACAATCAAACATTATATGCCACTAGCAGTGTTTCTGATAGAAAACACTTTACTTAACCTGAGGCAGTCACAACATATTTCCCCTTTTCATTCAGAAAACTGCTCTCTATCCTTGATATATAAATTTTGATGGACTGAAACTGGGAATGGCTATCTACAATTCTGGACAAACCCATTTACACCACAGCATTTTAAGGGATTTTGCTAGAAAGAAGCTTTGCTGTAACTCGCTTCATTGTAGTTTGCATGAAAGAAGTCTATAATCAAATGATAATTACTTCATTGGTCATAGTAATGGTTAGAAAATTCAGGTATGAGAGTGGTTAAGGGTTGATGACTTTTACAAAAGATGTCTACATCAGAGTGATGAAACACTTTGTGGCTGCTGGTGGGAACACTGCTGTCACTCCCTGAGTGGTTAGTTTAGTTGCTGGAAGCATATTATTTCTGAACACATGTTGTGGGTATGGAAATAAATATACATATGAAACACTGTAGAATTACCTAACATTTTCTTGTCAAGGAACAAGTTAATGGTTAGGTCCATTTCATGTTTCTATGCCAGCACTCTTTACTAGAGGTGAAGTGTCTCCCATTCAGGTAAGTATAATACTTTCACAGAAAAATTGCAACAATATTCAATGACAAAATAAAGCATTGTCTTCATTTGCATGGTAATATTTTTTTATTTTGGTACTAGTGAACCACATTTAACTGGTTGGTCCTACACAATTTGTATTACCCAGTCTTGTCATAAGAGAGCTGTCCTCAGAACTCTTCATGAGCATTATTAATTGGGAGGACATTCTGCCCAGCTACGATACACAGCATTATTTTTATTATTATACACAATCCAATTAAAATTTGTTTGCATAATTTAGCTCTGGACTGTTCATGGATACAGAAAAACATATTACACAAAGTTTATCTATTCCTGTGTCTGCTAATTTATGTTTGAAATAGTCTTAAAATATCCCTTTTTATTATAAGCCAGCCATTCTTGATATGTTAAAAAACCCATATGGAATGAGACTAAACCAAAAACTGAAATATTGGACCAGGCTTTGATTATAATATGCATGAATGAATGCACTCCTGGACAAAAGCCTAACAGTGTGTTCCAGATTAAGTTCAGTATTTTGCTACAAATATAAGGTCATGAGGCCAAACAACAGCTTCCTCACCATGCAAATTTAAGTTAGTTATGTTATATATACTACCACAGTGATAATCATTTTAATGTCCAAAGAATGCAAATTCTTTAATGGCCTCACTAAGGCCTGTACTTCCTAACAGAACTTGTTCAGTTACAATACTGTACAACAAGGGCCAAAGACAACTATCTGCAATGTGGATGTTCTTTTAGTAATACCTTCAAAGGAATAAAAATTAAGCAGAGTAAATACAATTATAATAACTGAAAACATTTTCCAACAACAAATAACAGTTTTATAAAGTAGACTTGGATTCTCTTAAATGCAAAAATACCCACTTCATTGTGGGATTTTTACCAATTTGTGGTCACTCAAGCTTGAAGGTAGTGATCTCTTTGAAATTACAATCTAAAACAAAATACTAAAGCAATGGTTCAGTACACTTCTAAACAGCAACAGACAGAATGAAGACATGTGTCAATAGTTTAATTAAATAATTATACAAAATAAGACAGATTTAATAATGAACAAAAAGGCATTGCTTCAATGCCACTATTCATTAAAAAAGTTAAAACCTACCCATGCGTTAAAAATTACAACTGACGATATTTCATTGTCTTCATTACGAACATGGAGAAATATGACCTATGTTGAATTAGGGAAATGCCATTTCTGTTCACGTACAGTAGTTTTAGCTCCTAATTGAAAAGCATTAGACAAAGCAGTTATGTGTATCCAACTTGCCATCACCTTTATTGTACAGTGTTACATTATTTTATCTCTACATTTTGAAACACCACTCTCACAGGACGATTTCAAATAGTATTTTCATGTTCCCATTTAGCAAGATGGGAAAGGTGGAAAAGAACGCACATAATGTAACCAACTAAAAGGTACCTGATATTTGTTAGGAATCAATTAGGACACATCCAACCAGCAAGTAATGTAAAAGACTTTTGAAGCAAATATGCCATTCTTGCAGGAATCAATTACTATCAGTACATTTTGTATTTTAATAAAAAATACAATTGAAATAATAGGTTTACATACAAGTTTCCCTGGTTCAAGTTTAACCCTCTGTGATAAGATGTGTAGGAAAGCTGAACATAATCCGTTTTCCTCTGCAGCCTTTAACTATACTTCACAGATACTAAAAACATGTTGCCAACACAAATTACCAACTGCCTTCACAGGACACATTTCCATTACAAAAATAAACTTTCACACCCCATACCCCCTTCTACAGCTGTTAACAACTGAAAGACAAGTTACACAAAAATCTGACTAAACAGCATGTAATTACAAGATTACTATGAAGCATCCATTTGGTTAATTTAAGTTGGAGCATACTGTTGTGTGTGTAATCTTTAACTGCAAATGTTTACTGTTCCATCCCTACAACAGATTGATAAACATCTGCAGTCCATTTGGTTGTTTTTTCTTTCTTCACATATATTTTATGATATATTACTGTTTTTACTACCACACCAACTAGAGAATAACATCTTTATACCAACTGATTTACTGTGCATTAACTGCATTCAGTATCATCTTCCCTCAATGCAACTGCTGATCTAGACTCTAATTTGTGATTGTACTTTCCTCACATATTTCTTCTTTGATTATATGCACTGTTAAGTATGTTGAAATGAAGAGTGCCATTACATATACAGCTCTTCCACTGAGGCCTTGGCATTACAATAAAATGACACATCGAATCTGCATCTATAAGTAACTTCCCTTCTCTTTCGTGTTACATAAAACTATGACACCTTTTAGTAAATGGCATTACTCTTATCTTTCTTTTAAGAAACATACAATTATAAGAATTATGCAAGAGTAGATTAGATGAGAGTAGAGTACAAGAAAAGTAAAATAGCTCTGCTAGTTACGAGATACATTATCATTTGTATCTTGGTAAACCAAGCATTAGTCAATTGTACTGGATATTTTGAACAAGAATCTACCATCAGTCAACAAAGTTAATAAAACTGTGTTACTACTGTCATCAATTTTATTTTTCTACAGATAAATTGTATGCTTTATTCTAAGTTAAGTGTTTCATTTTACATGTTAATGTACAAATATTGGTGATTTAGCTGCAGTATCAGACATAATTTTATATGCCACCCAACCTTCCATGGTTCTTTGCTGTTATCATATATTCCAGGGAGATTTAAAATAAAGCATGAGACAGCTGGTTTGAATACTTATCTGGGTGATCTACATTTGATACATTATGATACAGTACCTTGTTTTGGACTCCCAGTATGTTCCCTAGCCCCTTCATGATCTGTTTGCAAGCTAGTCATCTTCACTGCCATACCTTCTTCAGTTTGGTGTGCTGTCCTCCATCAGCGCATATACTCGTTTCATTATTCCAGTAAGAAATGTAACATTAGTTTCAAGTCCAAGTGAATAGCTCAAGTTCCTCCTTTTGGAGCTGGTCCCTCCCTCAGCTGCTTCTGCTGCTCCAGAAGTCTCTCTAGCGGTGACGGACCAGGCCCAGACCACAGAGACTGCAAAACAGACGCATCCTATAATGGATAGTTGTTACACTGCAATATTTAGTCAACATTTGGAAAGAATATTCCTGTACACCAATCCCAAACGTTCTTAACTTGTATGTGTCCATAAATGCACAATTGTACTACGCTGAAACTGAAAACACTTTCAGTACACTACTAACCAAACTACACTACAAATTTGTCTTTTCCCTACGATATCTTGAAGAGTTCTGAGGCCCACCCAGCCTTTGGATGCTGTGGGTTCCTACCTTGAAGGCAAAGGCAACCAAAGCATGAATTGTTTGTATTTCAACTAGACTTTCAGTACCTCAGACTCTTTCATGCCAAATTATGGTTAATGAATAATGAATGGTCATGGCCCAATTTAAGGCACTACCCTAGCATTTGCCTGGAGGGAATGAAAAAAACAACAAAAAAACTCAGGATAGCCAGTCTCTGGGGCCAAGATTTAAAGCAAGTACATCAGGAATATGTAGTGGGAGTGGTATCACTTGGCTGTGACATGCAGCACCAAAACATAAAGCTTAAGACTCACCTCTATCTTGTGATTAGGTTAAAGAAATGTGGGCCTCCATCTCCAAATTCCCATATGCCCTCATGACATAGAATGCAAATAGGGTAATTTGAAATTTGTAAGATTTGAGGTTTTCACAGCGGTGAGTATGAAGATTTCTGTCTTCTGGGTTGTTGCGCTGTGTAGTCTGGTAGATGTTTACCAACGTTTCAGGACGATGACGGAGGCAGTATGACCTCTGAAACGTTGGTTAACATCGACCAGACTACACAGTGCAACAACCCAGAAGACAGAAATCTTCAATTTTAAATTTATTTGCGCAATGCAGAAAATAGTGCAATTACATGCACAACAATGAAGTGAATACTTTTTTGTACATGTACATGGGGTTGAGGGAGAAAATGCAAATTTTCTCATTCAAAGGCATCTTCATCCCTTACAAATTTTGCTCCCGATATACCCACTATATTGCAAAATATATTGCTGTTATTTTCATTGAAAGTGCATTTCAAAGCTCTCACACTATAAAAGTCAAGTCCTATACAGATACTTTGACAACACCATATGCACTTTTATAGCACTCTACTAAAATAAAACCATGGTACTACACATATTATCTTCTTACCTGCTGACCAATACTGAGGGAGCTTTTCCCTGGAACACCCATAACATTTGACAGACCATTCCCACATGAGTTCCCTTCCAACTCAAAACCACATGTCGGTGCTGGGTTCACCCAGCTGGGTGTACTGAAGAGTGAGTAGGTGTTGGTGCCAAGTCCCAAAGCAGAGAATGAACTGGTATTTGGTGTTGATGAGAAAACTGTGGAATTCTCTCCTGTCACAGAGCTACTTCCCTGATGGTTTTCCTTGGTACTGCAATCTAATGTTACCTATTGGAAAACATTTTATGAAATTAATGTGAAGAAACGAGTTGCTAAAATATCACCATATAGTTATGACTCCCGAGTTACCATTTTGCAAGTTAATTTTTAAGGCTATGCACATACTTCCAAATAATATGTAAGCCCATTTTATAGAAATGGTTTAATATTCCTCAGGACTTTGCAAAAAGCATTTCAGCAGCTAATCTTGTCACCATGCCTCAATGGGCCTTTGCTCTGTATGTTTTCCTCCTCTTTCCACATACCCAATATGTGCGTGTGCACTGTGCATGCATGCAGGTGTACACATGCAGCTGTGTGCAAACTCATTTGGCCTACTTACCCTCAGAAGTGGTACTCATACTGCAAAACACAGATTCTATCAACGTAATTCCTTCCTATGCCAACTACTGAAAATTCATTCAGAGGGAAAGCAGACCATGACAAGGAACAAAGGAAATGTGGGAAGATGGAGAGCCTTGGTTATCAGACAAGCCACTTAAAGTGGACATGTCCCAGAAAGAAGAAGTGAAGATTCGGGAAAAGATATTTTGAGACAATGCTCAAAAAAACAAAATCAGACAAAGACATTCATGGTTAATACATATGAAACAAGGAACAAGAACTTACCTCTGCATTTGGCCTCTGTGTTTTCTGATTTCCTGAAATACCAAATACAGACAACTGGTTGACATCTGCTCTGTTTTGTGATCCTTGAAACCCTGAGCTGTTTTGCAACAAAGATCTAGAAATTGATGTTTGTGTGGCAGCAGGTGGAGTAAAACTGCTAGGAAGTTGGGCTGATGTTCCACTCATTAACTGATGCTGAAGATTTAGGTTCAGATTTAGAGGTTGTGGTGGTGGCGCTGACATCTGGTGCCTCGAGTGCCAATTTGCATTACTGTACAAATCATCTGGTACCAAATCTGTTGGTGACTTCATGGATATACGTTGAAGAGGTTGTTGAAGAATATTACTGCCTTGTAAATAATTCAAAGTTGGCAAGGATAAGTTCATCTGGGTTCCAGGTGCTTGTGATGTAACTGTTTCATCTTGTTGGCTGCTACCTCCAGAACTCTGTCTTGTCATCCCTTGCCTGTCACACCACCAAGATGGAGGAAGAGGGGGACTCTCCTCTTGCCACGGTGCGAAAGGTGGCTGACGTAACTTCATTCCATAAGATTGATGAGATGATGTGTACCCATTTCCTATGTTAGAAGATGGATTATCACTCATTGGTAGATTAGCTCCAGGTGAAGAATGAGGGGGTAGCTGATGAAAAGGTATTTGAGCAGGATGACTGGGGAAAGATGACATCTGTGAACCATACGAGGATGATACACTGCTGCCATTTGTTGAAATAGGCTGACTGTGGTGATGTAGAGCACCCATGAGACCATTCTGACAAGTCATTTCCCCATTATCAAATACAGACTGGGCCTGGGACACCTGGCCTCTAGGGACTTGATTATGTTGCTGGATCAAGTTATGCTGTGGTGTTTGCTGATTCTGGTATGGATAAGGTACAGTTAAAGTTTGAGGGGGTGGTTGAGGAAGTGGCTGAAGAACATGATTCTGTTGCTGCTTTGGTTGTTGCCATGCTGATGTTTTGTTTGATTTCACAACTTGCCCATCTTCAGCACTCTGGCAACTTCCAGGTGATACACTTGGTGATGGAGTTTTAAATGTTACCTGCGGGGTAAACGAAACACACCAATTATTAAAATTAAACATAGAGTCCTAAGAAGTCATCCAGATAAGGAAGTTTCTGAAGTATAATTAATATCTTTAGGAAACAAAATTCATTACTTCTCTGTGTAATTACATTCAAGACACAGGCTCAGCAAGCCAGGCTTGTTTAGAAACTTTAAGGTGTACAAGAAAATCAGAATTCATGCCATATAGTTCTATTATGTTTTCAGTAATGCCTATGGGAAAGCATTTTACTTGGTACTTCTCCAATTTTTGTTAAAGTATAGAGCCAGTAAGCCAGTTTTATAAGGTACAGGCAACTCTCAGTTTACAAACTTTCACTACAGTGAAACCTCTATCCATCCTTCCCGGAACTATCGTTTTCCCGGATGCATCGTCCGTTTTGTTCGGTCCCGAATACATCCCATATAAAATAATGTTACATTTTCCCGCTTCTATCGTTCCTCGAACTATCGTTTTATCGCATCGATCCTTAAAAAATCTTAGTCCCAGCACACAATTTTCCCGCAATGATCGTTTCTGAGAAATTAAAATGCTGGGTTTTGAGATAAATTA